GCAGCTGCCGCCCTGGCGTGTCTGGTGTGCGCTGTGACCAGTGTGCCCGTGGCTTCTCGGGAGTCTTTCCTGCCTGCCATCCCTGCCACGCGTGCTTTGGGGACTGGGACCGTGTGGTGCAGGATCTGGCGGCCCGCACACGGCGCCTGGAGCAGTGGACCCAGGAACTGCAGCAGACGGGTGTGCTGGGTGCCTTTGACAGCAGCTTCCGGCACTTGCAGGAGAAGCTGGGCACTGTGCAGGGCATCGTGGGTGCCCGAAACGCCTCTGCCGCCTCCACCGCGCAGCTCGTGGAGGCCACAGAGGAGCTGCGGTGCGGACGAGCCCGAGGATGCTTGGTGGGATGGGGCAGGGGCCCAACGTGCCAGGGCTGAAGTCTGTATCACTTCACACAGGCGCGAAATCGGGGAGGCCACGGAGCGCCTGACCCGGCTGGAGGCTGAGCTTACAGACGTGCAGGATGACAATTTCAACGCCAACCACGCACTGAGCAGTCTAGAGCGAGATGGGCTTGCACTTAATCTCACGCTGCGGCAGCTTGACCAGCATCTGGACCTGCTCAAGCATTCAAACTTCCTGGGTGAGTTGGTGACCCCTGAGGCAGGTGGCTCAGGGTGGATCTTCCGCTGACTGCCCATCTCTGCCCAACTCAGGTGCCTATGACAGCATCCGCCAGGCCCACAGCCTGTCTGCAGAGGCAGAACGCCGTGCCAACATGTCAGCCCTGATAGTACCAAGCCCTGTGAGCAGCTCAGCAGACACCCGGCACCGGACAGAGGCCCTGATGAGTGCCCGGAGGGACGACTTCAACCGCAGGCACGTGGCCAACCAGCGGGCCCTGGGCGAGCTCTCTGCCCGTACCCACGCCCTGAGTCTGACAGGCATCAACGAACTGGTAAGGCTCGGTGTGGGTGGGACATATGGGTGTGGCTGTTCCTTCCCCCAGCCCTGACTTGTTCTGTGCCTGGCAGGTGTGTGGGTCCCCAGGAGACGCGCCCTGTGCTACGAGCCCCTGCGGGGGTGCCGGTTGCCGGGACGAGGAGGGGCAGCCCCGCTGTGGGGGCCTGAGCTGCAGTGGGGCAGCAGCCATGGCAGACCTGGCACTGGGTCGGGCCCGCCACACACAGGCAGAGCTGCAGCGGGCATTGGCAGAAGGCGGTGGCATCCTCAGCCAGGTAGCTGAAACCCGTCGACAGGCAGGCGAGGCCCAGCAGCGGGCCCAGGCAGTCCTGGACAAGGCTAATGCGTCCAGGGGCCAGGTGGAGCAGGCCAACCAGGAACTGCGGCAACTTATCCAGAATGTGAAGGACTTCCTCAGCCGTGAGCCTCCCTGTGGCCCAGGCCCCATGGTGTTTCCCTTGTGTCTGTGTTCATACTTGAGTCAGAGCCCACACAGTACCTGTGTTTAGGACTACCAATGGGCAGGGACTCAGGATGTGTGGACCCCGAGCCCTGCCTTTATGTCACCCCAAAGTCCACGACCCCAAATCTGTGTCCCATGTAGAGTCCTGTCCTTGTGGTTACATCCGTCTGCCTGCTAGCAAATCCATACCCCATGTGTGGTCTCTGAGTCCATACCCCCAGGTTGTGTCCCTGTGCCCACGCTCTGACCTTAAGCCCTTGCCTGTGTCCCCACAGAGGAGGGGGCTGACCCTGACAGCATTGAGATGGTGGCCACCCGGGTGCTAGAACTCTCCATCCCAGCATCGCCTGAGCAGATCCAGCAGCTGGCGGGTGAGATCGCAGAGCGGGTCCGGAGCCTGGCAGATGTGGACACGATCCTGGCGCGCACTGTGGGAGATGTGCGCCGGGCAGAGCAGCTCCTGAACGACGCGCGGCGGGCACGGTCTGATCCCCAACCTTGGACCCCGCGCCCGCCCCCCGCCGCCCCTTCCTTGACACCTGATCCTGATCCTGGCAGGCTCTGACCCCCTCTCTTCCCCAGGAGCCGGGCTGAGGGTGAGAAACAGAAGGCAGAGACAGTCCAGGCGGCCCTGGAGGAGGCCCAGCGGGCACAGGGTGCTGCTCAGGGTGCCATCCAGGGGGCAGTGGTTGACACACAGGACACAGAGCAGACCCTACACCAGGTGTGGCCTCCCTGGACACCAGTGGGGCCAGGTTAGGAGCACACTGCATAAACCCCTTTAATCCTGGGCCCACCCACGGCAGGTGCAGGAGAGGATGGCAGGTGCCGAGCAGGCACTGAGCTCCGCAGGTGAGCGGGCTCAGCAACTGGATGGTCTCCTGGAGGCTCTGAAACTGAAGCGAGCCGGGAATAGCCTGGCAGCCTCGAGTGCCGAAGAAACGGCTGGCAGCGCCCAGGATCGTGCCCGGGAAGCTGAACAGGTGGGTTGAGGCAGAGCCAGGTGGAAGGGCTGGGGTTAGAGGCTGGGCCTCCACTGGGCCACCACCCAGCCCCCGGCCTCTACATCCACAGCTGCTGCAGGGCCCTCTGGGGGACCAGTACCAGACAGTGAGGGCCCTGGCTGAGCGCAAGGCCCAGGGTGTGCTGGCTGCGCAGGCGCGGGCAGAGCAACTTCGGGACGAGGCTCGGGGCTTGTTGCAGGCCGCTCAAGACAAGCTGCAGCGGTTGCAAGGTGAGAATGGGGGTGGGTGGGCCCCAGAAAGGTGGGGCTCTGGGAGAAGGACCCTTCATCTGAGACCCGTCTCTGCCAGAGCTGGAAGGCACTTATGAGGAGAACGAGCGGGCGCTGGAGGGCAAAGCGGCTCAGCTGGACGGGCTGGAGGCCAGGATGCGCAGTGTGCTTCAGGCCATCAACTTGCAGGTCCAGATCTACAACACCTGCCAGTGACCCCTGCCCGAGGCGTCCCCCAGTCCCTAGCCTCACCCCGCACGCATGATCGCCTGTGCATGAACAGTCCTCAGCCTGGCAAGGCCCCCGCAATAAACCAGTGTGAATCCCCGGGTGTGGTCTGGACTCTGATTTGGGGAGGGCGGGGTCTCTGGGAGGAGTCTGTAGAGGCGGCCACCCGCCGGGCCCCAGCGAGACCCAGGCACCGGAGCCCCGCCCCCTCCGCTCGGCCCGCCTCCGGAGCTGCCCGGCGCCGCGTGCCCGCTCCCGCCGGATGTGCGTCACCGGCCCTGCGTGCAGCCACCCGCGGCCGTAACTGGAAGTCGAAACAAAACAAGCAGCTTAGGTGGTGGCGGCGGCGGCGCCGGGACGGGGGAGGGGCGCGCCGGAACCGGAACCGACCTGACGCCGGAACCGGAACCGAGAGCGGGTTGCCAAGGCCCGAAGAGGGCTGGCGGCGGCGGCGGCGGCGGCGGCGGCGGCGGCGGCGGCGGCGGCGGCGGCCTCGCTCGGTGAGTGGGGCTGGCCGCTGCTCGCCTGTCGCGCCGGAGCGGGGAGGCCGCAACGCGGGCCCGGGGCGGCCTGTTCAAGGTCACGGGCCGTCCAGTCTCCACCCCTCGAGTCCGGCGGCCTACCGGGCCCGCCGCTGCAGGCGGGGCCGTTACACTCAGCCTGTGGCCGGCCGGCGGTCTCCGAGAGGGTTGGCGGCGAGTGAGGGCGGCTTCCTGGAGGAGGTGGTGGTGGGCCTGGGGTTCGGAGGCTGGAACTGGGTCGCAGCCCGGCTGGGGCGCTGGTCTGTGGTCAGTAACCCGGCGCGGCCGGATTAGGCCACCTTGGGTCTCTAGGCAGCCCCTTTCCCTCCTCAACGTCCCAAGAGGATACGGGAGGGACGCGACCTTCAGCTGGGGCCTGGGAGCAAAGAGGCGGAGGATGTTCATCCCTCGACTCTGGATCTGTCGTCGTTGGAGATCCAGCCCACCAGTCCCACATCTGACCCGTAGAAGAATCTCTTCCCGCCCCCGACATTCCCTCCTCCCCCACCCCACCCCCCCCCACACTGGGGAACACAAGACTGGTCACTATCTGTCCTGCCACTGTCTCAGGCGGTGCTGTGGGCTGCCAGGGATCCTGGATACACGCCTCCTTCATCCCCACCCTCATCCCCGCCCTTATCTTAGTTTTGAGAACTTTATTTTGGGTGGAGAAATAGCCCAGAATCCCCTTGTGGGTCTGTGGGAAACTGGGTAGAAAGTCTAGCTCAGAGCTGATGAGGGGCGAACCTGGAAAGGAAGGGGATAATGTCTGTTTCAGTTTCCACCTCAGGGTGCCTTGAGGTGGGGATATTGCTGAAAGGGAAGTGTGACATCTGAATACCCTTTTCATCTTAGCTTTTGCAAGCCCCTCTCTGCATAGGACAGCAGCTGGAGAGAGGAATCTCTTCAGACGTAGGGAAAAAAGAAAACAAAAACCAACCAGTGCATTGAACCAGGTTCAGGGAACGGTGGAAGCTGTCATGTGGCAGGTGGGGCACCTTAACCTGAAGACTGCCTGGGCAGTGGTAGCACCTGGGCTGGGCCTGTTTTCAGCTACAGTGCCTGGTCCTCCTGCTGTTTAATTGTCTGTCTCCTCCTTTCCTGGCTTCCTCCTCCACCTCCTACTTCTCGGGTGGTGACTAAGCAGCCAGTGAGAGTGAAGGAAAAGTGAGCACCCTGCTCTGAGTGCCAGCCCTGTGGGCTGGAGCCATGGCTCATCTCCAGATTGATGAAGGAGCCTGGTCCCGGGCCATAGCTGCCCTGACCTGGCTCCTCCTCAGTGAGGCTTCTCTCTTTGTGGGTCTGTATGGCAGCATCGAGGAGGCCCAGCCAGAAGTGATTGCTCCTACGTGCGTTATTTATTCCCCCTTAGGAATCGTCTGAGTAGCCAGGGCTGCCTCAGGTATTGGAGAGACACTGCTCTGTAGGGTTAGACATGTCCTAGGTTGCTGAGCCCTAGGTGTAACCAGGGAGCAAACTCCCACCCTTGGTAGTGATTACTGGTCCCCTTCTCGTTAGGCTGTCTGTTCCTTGCTGGAGAATTTGTCCACAAAGAGTTGCCAAGATAGCTGGGCCAGGAAGAAAGCGCCGTAGCCCTGACCCAGACGCCGTTGCCGACCCCGGGGCACTCTGGCTGTCGACCAAGCGGCTCAAGATGTCTGGTGGGGCCAGCGCCACAGGCCCAAGGAGAGGGCCCCCAGGACTGGAGGAGGCCACCAGTAAGAAAAAGCAGAAGGATCGAGCAAACCAGGAGAGCAAGGATGGCGATCCTAGGAGAGGTGGGAGTGGCATTCCTGGGACCTTTGTGGCCTTTTCCTCCTCCCTTCCTATTGAGCGTACACGTGGGGGGTTGGGAAACAACTTTTTTCTTCTTCCTCCCATCCTCGTCTGATGCTGAGAGATGGACCAGTGGCAGGCTGGGTACAGCATCAGCTTTGAAGTTTGTAGTACTTGACTGAAGTCTTCAACATGGTGTTTGGTGGAGTGTTCGAGTCTCGGAGGCTGCCTGTCCATCTTGGTTTCCCTATTCTTTCCTTTGTTGTCAGGGTCAGCATTCACTCCTCGGGAGGAGCAGACCAAAGAGGGTGAGTAATGAATAGGCCTTTTGGATGCTAGAGTGCTTTGGTTGGTGGGAGAGGGGTGATGGGCACCATGGGGGTATAGCTCTTATCTAAAGCAGTTCCATTAGGGCTGGGTGTCTGGTACCTGCTGATCCTCACCAGAAGCTCACGGAGACCCTCACAATCTTTTCGTCACTCCCTGTATAGACTTAGGGCTCGATTGGAGGCAGAGTGCTGATGAGGTGATTGTCAAGCTCCGCGTGGGAACAGGTCCTGTGCGGCTGGAGGAAGTTGACGCTGCTTTCACAGACACAGACTGTGTGCTGCGGCTCCCAGGTACGTCCCTCTGCTCCTAGGCCAGCAGTGTATGTGAGCCCCTTGATAGCCCCTGCCCCAGCTGACTCCTCTCACTCTGTCTCCAGATGGTCGGCAGTGGGGTGGTGTTTTCTACGCTGAGATAGAGAGTTCTTGCACCAAAGTGCAGGCTCGCAAAGGTGGCGTCCTGCAGCTGTCACTGCCCAAGAAGGTGCCTCTGCTTACGTGGCCCTCTCTGCTGGTAAGTTCCAGAGCGGTGGGAGGGGAGAGGCAGGGATCCCCAGTGTAGTTGACAGAGCCTGACTGCTATATCTCTGGCAGAAGAAACCTCTAGGGACCCAGGAGTTGGTGCCAGGGCTGCGGTGCCAGGAGAATGGGCAGGAGCCATCTCCCGTTGCCCTGGAGCCAGGCCCTGAGCCCCGGCGGGCTAAGCAGGAGGCCCGCAACCAGAAGCGGGCCCAGGGCCGTGGTGAGGTAGGCGCTGGGGCTGGTCCTGGGGCCCAGGCAGGGCCCAGCGCCAAGAGGGCCGTGCATCTCCGCAGAGGGCCGGAGGGGGAAGGGGCCAGAGATGGCCCTGGGCCTCGGGGTGATGCCCCCCCATTCCTGGCTGAGCCGGCCACCCAGGTGAGAGTGGGGTGCTTGCTTGGGGCTTGGGAGATGAGGGGGAAGGGTGTAGACTCCAGTGGAGAGGGAGCCACCAGCCAGACCCAAGGCTGATCCTGCCCACGATCTTGCCACGAATAGGCTGAGGCTGAGGAACAGCTCCGTGTACCACCACTGACCCCCCAGACCTGCCTCCTGGGCTCAGAGGAGAATCTAGCACTTTTGACAGGAAAGAAGGCAGCAGCCCCCAGGAGTGACCCAGTGTCCCCTACCATGGCCCGGAGCAGAGACCCTGAGAAGGATGATCGTTCCAAGGAGGAGATGGCCGTGGCCGCAGATGCTGCGGCCTTGGTGGATGGTAAAGGTGGGGCTGGGGTTGGGCAGCCCGAGCTCGAGCTGCAAGGTGGGTGGGTGTGGGTGGGGAGGGAGTAGAAGAGGAACAGGCTAGAACCTGTCCTGGGTGGCACTGAGCTGTGGTCTTAATGTAGAGCCCGAGTCCATGGTGAACCTGGCATTTGTCAAGAATGACTCATATGAGAAGGGGCCGGACTCAGTGGTGGTGCATGTGTACGTGAAGGAAATCCGCAGGGACAGCTCTCGAGTGCTCTTCCGCGAGCAGGACTTCACACTTATCTTCCAGACCAGGTGGGTGGATGGGCAGACCTGGGGCAGACAGTGTACTTTAGGCAGGGCAGTGCGTCTCACGCTCTTTCTCCTGCCCTGCCCCGCCCCTGCAGGGATGGAAACTTCCTGAGACTGCACCCAGGCTGTGGGCCCCACACCATCTTCCGTTGGCAGGTGAAGCTCAGGTGGGTGGTGCCCAGCCCCATCCCTGTGCCTGTCCCACCGCCCTGCACGCCTTGTCCCTGGGCCATCTGGCCCCACAGCCCTTCCACCGGAGTTCCTGAGTGCAGCCTTCCCCTGCAGGAACCTGATCGAGCCCGAGCAGTGCACCTTCTGCTTCACGGCCTCTCGCATTGACATCTGCCTCCGCAAGCGGCAGAGCCAGCGCTGGGGGGGCCTGGAAGCCCCAGCTGCACGAGGTCTGCCCACGAACTCCCTTCATTGCCCGGTCCTTGGGACCCAGACCCCCACCCCCTGCCACATGCTGCTAACCACCAGCCCCCCCATTCCCCCTTTTTAAGGTGCAGTGGGTGGTGCAAAGGTCGCCGTGCCGACAGGTCCATCCCCCCTGGATTCAGCCCCACCGGGAGGCACACCCCATCCCTTGACGGGCCAGGAGGAAGCCCGGGCCGTGGAGAAGGAGAAACCCAAGGCTCGATCTGAGGACACAGGCCTTGATGGGGTGGCTGCTCGCACCCCCATGGAGCATGTAGCCCCAAAGTCAGAGCCACACCTGGCGTCGGTGAGAATCTCGGGGTGCAGAGGGCCAGGGCTGAAGGCTGGAGAGCTCAAGGCTGCTCTCTCATGCTTCTCTTGCTCCCACAGCCCAAGCCCACATGTATGGTGCCTCCAATGCCCCACAGCCCGGTGAGTGGAGACAGTGTGGAGGAAGAGGAGGAGGAAGAGAAGAAGGTGTGTCTGCCCGGCTTCACCGGCCTCGTCAACCTAGGCAACACCTGCTTCATGAACAGCGTCATTCAGTCTCTGTCCAACACGCGGGAGCTGCGGGACTTCTTCCATGGTGAGAGGTGCTCCTGGAGCCCAGGGACGGGGGACACTTGCCCCTGCTCACACCTCTCCTGGGCTGCTGTCCCTAGACCGCTCCTTCGAGGCTGAGATCAACTACAACAACCCCCTGGGTACTGGTGGACGTCTAGCCATTGGCTTTGCTGTGCTGCTCCGGGCACTGTGGAAGGGCACCCACCATGCCTTCCAACCCTCCAAGTTGAAGGTGATCTGTGGCCACTCTTCCCCTTGGCTGGAGAGGGCGGGGAGGGCCAGCCAGCCAGGAGCACGGTGGCTGCTGGGGCTCCGGGCTCACACCTTTCCCCTATGTCCAGGCCATCGTGGCGAGCAAGGCCAGCCAGTTCACAGGCTATGCCCAGCATGATGCCCAGGAGTTCATGGCTTTCCTGCTGGATGGGCTGCACGAGGACTTGAACCGCATTCAGAATAAGCCCTACACGGAGACCGTGGACTCAGATGGGCGGCCTGATGAGGTCAGAGTTGGGGGCAGAGGTGCGCTTGTGTCCCGCCTGTCCCAGCCCCTGGGTCTCCTTGGCCCTCACTACTCTGCTCTGCAGGTGGTGGCTGAGGAAGCCTGGCAGCGGCACAAGATGAGGAATGACTCTTTCATCGTGGACCTGTTTCAGGGCCAGTACAAATCGAAGCTGGTGTGCCCCGTGTGTGCAAAGGTGTGATGGGCTCCCTAGACAGAAAAGCACCTCCTAGCTTGTTCTGGTTAGCCTAATCGGAATGGGCTCAGAGGCACAGGTACCTTTAGGTGCTGCAGGGCACAATTTGGGCAAAGAAGCTCAAGGGAGGCCTGAGGCCCTGTGTAGGCTGCAGAGGTCGGGCTGCGAGGGCTTCCTGATGGAGGGGAAAGCGCTCTGGGTGACCTGATTTGGAGTGGGATATGGGAAAAATTGGAAAGGCACATGGGGTGCGAGTGAGGGACCCGGCCGAGCAGGGCCTCCAGTGTCAGAAACAGGGATTCTTCTCTCCTGCCAGTCTTCCTGGTCCATCCAACATTCTTAGCCTGAGGCTGGGTGGTGAGGCCTGAGAGCCGTCCGCAGGCCTGGGTTGGGCGCTCTGGGCACCAGCAGCCTGCCCCCCACTCCCTGTGTGGCCACCCAGTGGCACCTGTGCCTTTACAGGTCTCCATCACTTTTGACCCGTTCCTGTACCTGCCGGTGCCCTTGCCCCAGAAGCAAAAGGTTCTCCCTGTCTTCTATTTTGCCCGGGAGCCCCACAGCAAGCCCATCAAGGTGAGAACCTGGCCCGTACTTCCGGGCTATGGCTGAGACCCTGGCCTCCCTCCCCCATGGACTCGCTCCTCTTGTCACCACAGTTTCTGGTGAGCGTCAGCAAGGAGAACTCCAGTGCAAGCGAAGTGTTGGACTCCCTGTCTCAGAGTGTCCACGTGAAACCTGAGAACCTGCGTCTGGCTGAGGTGTGTCTGTCCTTCTCTGCCCCTTACGCACAGGGACGTGTGTCTGTGTTCACAGCATGCAGATACGTGTGTGCAGTTGTTAGTATCCATATGTGTCCGCGCAGACGTGCATGTGACTGCACAAACAGGCGAGGTGCTGCGGGATGAGGCGTGGTTGATACCAGGCACTTGGGCGATGCACCTGAGGTGCCCCCAGCTCCCCGCCATCATCTGAATCTATTCCCCCGCTTGGTGTTGGCCCCCAGCTGCTCTTCTTCAGATGAGGAGCTTGCGCCACAGGACTAGCCATCCACTAGCTTTGGTTCTTCTCTGTTGTGCTTCTCCCTCCTGTTTTCCCCGATCTGTGTGCTGCTGCTTGGCAGTGTCCGCTTCCTCAGTGGCGTAGAGGTCGGGGCACGCCTCTTGGAAGGTGGCCCCTCCAGAGGAAGCACATTGCAGTCTCCACGGGGCCCACTGGGTGAGAGCAGGGTTGAGGCCCTTGGTGTGGAGAGCTGGTACGGTTCATACCGGTCCCAATCCTGATCTTTCATTCTCTCTACGTACCAGGCTCCTTACTCCATTGGGCACTGAGGCTGCTGCTGGTGGAGGCACATATTTCTTACCCCTGACCTGTCCTCACAGACCCAAGATCAAGGCCAGATCTTGTTGTGGTTTGGAGCAGGGCTAGGGGAAGCACTCGTTCTCCCATCGGATCTGTGTGTTCCCTGTCCCCAGGTGATTAAGAATCGCTTCCACCGTGTGTTTCTGCCCTCCCACTCACTGGACACCGTGTCCCCGTCTGACACACTCCTCTGCTTCGAGTTGCTGTCCCCAGAGTTAGCCAAGGAGCGGGTGGTGGTGCTAGAGGTACAGCAGGTGAGTAGGGGCCACCCCGCTGCCCCAGAGTCCTGGTGGGGGCGGGGACGGCCTTCCTGCCCCGCCTGCCCTCGCTGAGCCAGGCCACCCACCCTAGCGCCCCCAGGTGCCCAGCATCCCCATCTCCAAGTGTGCAGCCTGCCAGCGGAAGCAGCAGTCAGAGGACGAGAAGCTGAAGCGCTGTACCCGGTGTTACCGTGTGGGCTACTGCAACCAGTGAGGACTCCCGCGTTGCCCCGTCCGTGCTCCTGCTTCCACCTGCCACCCTCCCTCTTGTCCACATAAAGCCTGGGTGTCTTAAGTCCTTTATCTGCCCCCATCTGCTGCCACTCTCCCAGACCCCTGGGGAAGCTGGGCTGGCCCTGGTGTAGAGGTGAGGCTGAAGCCCCCTTCTTCCCTCCACTTTCCTTCCAGGCTCTGTCAGAAAACCCACTGGCCTGATCACAAGGGCCTCTGCCGCCCCGAGAACATCGGCTACCCTTTCCTGGTCAGTGTCCCCGCCTCACGCCTCACTTACGCCCGTCTCGCTCAGCTGCTAGAGGGCTATGCCCGGTAAGTGCCCAGGGGCTGGGTTCAGGCGGGGTGGAAGGCAGAGGCGCCAGCCGTACTGGTCTGGATTCTTACTGGCTTTTGCGGCCCGTCGCCAGGTACTCTGTGAGTGTGTTCCAGCCGCCCTTCCAGCCCGGCCGCATGGCCTTGGAGTCCCAGGGCCCTGGCTGCACCACGCTACTCTCCACTAGCTCCCTGGAGGCTGGGGACAGTGACAGGGACCCCATTCAGCCACCAGAGCTCCAGTTGGTGACCCCTGTGGCTGAGGGGGACACTGGGGCCTCCCGGGCATGGGCATCCCCTGATCGGGGCCCTGTGCCCAGCACCAGCGGCATTTCTTCTGAGATGGTGGCCAGTGGGCCCATTGAAGTTGGCGCCTTGACTGTTGGTGAGAGGGTGTCCCGGCCTGAAGGTAAAAGTCTGCTGAAAGGCTCTGGGGTAGGGAAGGTGGGGGAGAGCTGGGTCAGGCCGTGGTAGACAGGAGAGCTCTGATAATTGTGTCCTTTCTCAGCTGCCGTGCCCGGGTACCAACACCCAAGTGAAACCCTGAGTGCCCATACTCCCCAGTTCTTCATCTACAGAATTGACGCGTCCAACCGAGAGCAGCGGCTAGAGGACAAAGGTGCCTGAGGCCTTCAGGCGTGGGAACCCTGGCGTGGGTTGGGCCGGTGGTTCACAGTGGCGTGACTCCCCTCCTCACCCGTTTCCAGGAGACGTCCCGCTGGAGCTGGGGGACGACTGCAGCCTGGCCCTGGTCTGGCGCAACAACGAGCGCCTGCAGGAGTTCGTGTTGGTGGCCTCCAAGGAGCTGGAGTGTGCCGAGGACCCTGGGTCTGCGGGCGAAGCTGCCCGTGCCGGCCACTTCACGCTGGACCAGTGCCTCAACCTCTTTACACGGCCGGAGGTGTTGGCACCTGAGGAGGCTTGGTGAGGGCAGGGCGGCCGGCAGGTAGGGGCGGGGTGCCGGGCCCTCCACCGCCCCTGACGGTGCCGTGTCCCCTCTCAGGTACTGTCCCCAGTGCAAACAGCACCGCGAGGCCTCCAAGCAGCTGCTTCTGTGGCGCCTGCCCAATGTGCTCATCGTGCAGCTCAAGCGCTTCTCCTTCCGCAGCTTCATCTGGCGTGACAAGATCAACGACCTGGTGGAGTTCCCCGTCCGGTGAGCGGCGGGCCCTGCTGCCCGCAGTCAGGGCTGGTGGTGGTGGCGGCAGGGAGGGGCACCTGCTGACCGGCTGACCGCTCTCGGGCCGGCCCCACAGGAACCTGGACCTGGGCAAGTTCTGTATCGGTCAGAAAGAGGAGCAGCTGCCCAGCTACGACCTGTACGCCGTCATCAACCACTACGGGGGCATGATCGGCGGCCACTACACCGCCTGTGCGCGCCTGCCCAATGACCGCAGCAGCCAGCGCAGCGACGTGGGTGAGGGCACGCGCCGACAGGACGGACGGGAGGGGCGGTGGCGCGGGCCCTGTTCACACTCTTCCCACCTCGCCGTAGGCTGGCGCCTGTTCGACGACAGCACAGTGACAACGGTAGACGAGAGTCAGGTGGTGACGCGTTACGCCTATGTCCTCTTCTACCGCCGGCGGAACTCTCCCGTGGAGAGGCCCCCCCGGGCAGGGCACTCTGAGCACCACCCTGAGCTGGGCCCTGCAGCTGAGTCCGCTGCCAGCCAGGTGAGGCACGGGGAGGCTCCGCAGGCGAGGGGGACCCAGCTCTCAGATGTGGGGGGTGTGGAGCACAGCTTCCTCTCCTCCAGCCCCTGAAGCCTTGGGCTTTTTAAGCCACAGATGGGGTTCCCTTACATTGCGGCCTTAGCCAGAGCCACCATTACAGGCTGTAGAGACACTTAAAGAGGTACATACACACCAACACATGGCCACTGGCGCGTGCATCAAATACAGGCCAGGAGCTGCTACAAACTTCACCGGTCTGTGAACGGACTGTTCCTGACACGCCTAGCTTTCCCTCTACCACTCCCCACACACTGACCCACAGACCCTCCCTTAAGACTTCTGACGTGCACTCAGGCCAGGGCTGCGCCAGCAGGCCATAGCCTTGTGTGGCCGTCCCCCTCTCTGCGGTGGGCATCTGTTCCCGCTGGGCCTTCAGAATCTTCTGTCTCTCTTGCTGACATGGGTCCCAGGCCTGGTTGGTGGGCACAGCCCCACCTCTTCTCTGGACTAGTCTCCTCCTGGCGCTCCTTTCCCTTGAGCCCTTTATGCTCAGACTTTGAGACCGTGATCAGATCTGCATGTTGGTGGGAGGGAGCCAGGACATGACTCTGGGGTTGGCAGTTATGTCCTCCGTGAGCCAGTCTCCTCTGTGGGGAGCCTGGGCTAAAAAACTGACTGGCTAGCCCCCAACCCTAACTGTACCTCAGCGGGGAAGCTGCATGTCCGCTGGGGAGTGTCCTGAGGCCACAGTGCTGTCAGGGTTCTCCTGTCGTGGCGCTCTCAGTCTCAACAACCCGGCGAGTGACCCACTTGGCTCCTGCCTGCCCTCTCTGCCTCCTGACCTGGGATGTAGGGGGTTAGCGCCAGTTACCTTGGGTGGGACTGTTGTGGCCAGGGGTCTTAGGAGGGACACTGGGTCTCCCTCCCCCGTCCCCCCTGCCCTGGGTGCTGATGGCCGTTTCCGCACACCGTAGGCTTCCCGGATTTGGCAGGAGCTGGAGGCCGAGGAAGAGCTGGGACCCGAGGGGCCTGCGCCTCTGGGTCCCTGGGGGCCCCAGGCCTGGGTGGGCCCCCCGCCACGTGGCCCTCCCACAGCAGACGAGGGCTGTCTCCGATACTTTGTTCTGGGCACCGTGGCAGCTTTGGTGGCCCTTGTGCTCAACGTGTTCTACCCTCTGGTATCCCAGAGCCCCTGGAGATGAGCTCACCGGCAGGCAGCTGCTGTGCGCTGGCCCACCTGCCCTCCCCGCCAGGCCACGCCTGCCTCTGTGGCGGGGGCCGACTCGGGGCTCAGTGGGTGCCTCTGAGGGGACAGGGTGGGGACTGTGGATCTTGCAGGGGCAGAGCATCCCAGGGTGGGTATCCTGTCCAGCTGTCTGTCCGTTTGTCCTGCTGCTCCTACCCTTGACCTGGGGCTTAGCCCTACCCAAGCAGCTTCTTGTATTTAAAGTGTTAATAAAGCGAGACTGTTCAGGCCCGATCTCGTCTCTCTGTCTCAACGCCGCTGCTGTCTGCGCCTGCCTTGGGGCCCTCCCCTGGGTGCCAGGGCTCCAAGCCAGCACCCCTGGGATGCCAGGCGGCATACTGGGCAGCCCCCAACCCCTGTCCTCATATTCTGTTGCAGGGACTAGGCCCTGGCCAGGCCCCCGAGGTGGCCCCCACGCGGACAGCCCCTGAACGCTTCGCCCCCCCTGTGGACCGCCCAGCCCCCACCTACAGCAACATGGAGGAGGTCGATTAGCAGGTCCCTGGCTGGTGGGGGGACTGGGTTTGTGGGATCCCCCACAGAGGGCCAGCGCTTTGCCGCTTCTCCTTCTCTAACCTAGAGGACACTGGCTTCGTCAGTGGGGAGTTGGGGGGGATGATTTGAGGGTGGAAGCTTCACAGGTTGGGACCTCTTGTCACCTTGACACCACCCCCACCCCAACCAGTGGGCTTTGGCTTCTCCAGCCACCCCCAGTGCTGCGTGATTTGATTCTCAATTGTACCTTCGGTTCTTTCTGACTCGCATTATAAACGTTATAATTTTATTCTAAAAAACTGTAATTTTTTTTTGCATTTTGGAAGTGATTGCTGCTGTTTAAATATATTTTAAAAATAAATGACAAATAAGCAGACTTAGTCACTGTGATACACTAGGTCCTGTGCCCACCTCCCCTTTGCAGCATCTGCTGTGTGTGTGTGAGCGAGTGAGTGTGTGTCAAAGATCCTGTAAAGTGCTCTGGTCTGAGGAGATGATGAGGTTCTAGTTCAGGCCCTTTGGGTCATAAAGCCAAGCCCCCAGTGCCAGCATATGTTGGGGGCCTGACTTCTGCCCTTTGATTCCACTGATTCTTGAGTCCTGCCTGGAGGCAGCTATGGTTGGCAACATCAGTACCTCAGATCCAAGGGGTGTACCCCATGAAACTCCAGAAGCTGACAGCATGGGGTAAAAGGTGTAGGCACTGGGGTTGACAACCAGATAGCAGGTCAGGAAGGACTTGTTGGGGAACAGGAAGGACATGTGGGTGGAGAAGTCCCTCCTTTTCTCAGGTCTTTTTTTGCTGTAGTTTGCAAAACATCTGGATCCCTTGGGAGAATAGAGCAGGAAAAAAACTGGGTTGTGGGGAAGGAGACCCTGCTCCACAAGGACAGGCAGAGAGGACCAGAGCGACTCTTAGCTGGTTTCCTGCGGGAGGGAGGGTGCAGGCCCCTGCCAGGCCATCTCCTCCCTTGATTCCCTGAGACTTTGGCTTCTGGCAGGTATCCCAGGCTGTTTGCCCACAGTGGGTCAGCAGGCTTGTCCCAGCACACTTGCCTTTGTGCACACACACTGCAAGGCAACGGCAAGTCTCATGAGACTTCATCTCCAACTGCGCGGGGTTAGGAGTGGGTATCTCCAGCTGGAGGGGGATGGGGAGGCAGGTGTTCAAGCAAGCCAGAAAAGAGTGTCAGGCAGGGAAGGGTGGGGCAGGGCCCTGCAACCGCAGTGGTCCATCCCTGCCCCCAAGCCTGAGGGGTCAGTCTTATGATAAGCTCAGCATGTGGGCCCTGCTAGTACCCTTGAGCCTTGGCTGGAGTTAGCGGTGGTAGTGAGCAGGAGCTCCTGGAGAAAGCTAACTCTGTGACCAGAGTTGGTTATTTTCTATTGGAATAATAGCACAAGGACCATGTGGGGTTACTGGTCATGGAGAGGGGCCTGGAGAGCTGGGTGTGAGGCCCTGCAGTAATGGTGGAATTGCCAAGCTGGGTGTTGGTGCCGACACACTGCTGGCGGGATGGTCTGCTAGGTGTGGGCTTCAACAGGATTGTCCTGGGCCTTCACTGGCTGCAGCCCCAAGTGTCTGGACCCTGGTGGTCTGCATGTGCTGGATGCACTGCTCAAGGGGCTCTGTCCACCTCTGACCATAGCCCTGCTGCTGCTGAGCCTGCCCCATGACCCTTCCCTGGGCCAGGCCTCCGCACAAGACTTCTGTGAGCCTCAGCACTATGGCCACTGCTGCTTCTGCATTATCAGTCTATGCCACAGGGACTTGTCTGTAGGCCTGGCTGCTGGATTGTGCCTCTTCCCATGCACAGCTGGGCCTTGCTGGCTGTTACCTGGCTTTTCTCCTTGTTTCCTCCTCTGTCCCACCTTATCTCAACTTTGATAAAACATCCTGTCCAACACCTAAAAATGAATTTCAAGGTCTGATCTTTTGGTTTTCCTGACATGCTTGCTTTGGTAAGGGTGCTAGGTATGACAGGTGTTTTTTTTTTCTTTTCTTTCACTACACTGCGTGGTTTGTGGGATCTTAGTTCCCTGACCAAGGGACGAAAACCCAGGCATTTACCAGTGAGCTGCAGAGTCCTAATCACTGGATCACCAGGGAATTCCCAGGGAAGATTTTAAACCAAATCATCACAGAACTTTTCGAGGTCCCTCCTGGCCAGGTGTATGCCCAGCTGGGTGCTCAAGAAGTGAAGTGCCAGACTATTGGGGTCCATCGATGGGCCATTTCAGACATTCTCTGTGGCGTCTTTGACAGGATTTCCCAGGCTTCATTTTGTTCAACTGTTTCCATGACAATTCCAAAGCTGTGACGTCAGAAAGATGATAGGGACTCACATATTCCCAAGAACAGAACTGGTATGGTCCCGAGGGTTCCAGGGCTGAAAGGGAAAAGTCGAAGAGCAAAGGGCCATATCTATGTTTGCTTCCTGATTCGCGGCAAAGCACCTCCTAAAAGTTCGGTCGCTACTACCCTTTCTTACCCCTTCTGGGGACCCGCAGCACGAAGACGGAAGTGAAGCGCCCGGAAAGGCCTCCCTCTGCCCTTTAAATGGAGCTAATAACCCTAGAGAGCCCCGCCCCTCCCGCCAAGGAAGGACACTATTGGGTCTCCCTGACAGCATCGCTCTCCTATTGGTCCGTGGGCTAATGCCAACGTGCAGATTGGTCCCAAAGTTTTCTTTCGGTTTCCGGCGTCCCAGCAATGGCGGCTCTGGACTCCTTGTCGCTCTTCACTGGCCTCGGCCTGAGCGAGCAGAAGGCCCGCGAAACGCTCAAGAACACGGTTCTGAGCGCGCAGCTACGCGAGGCGGCGACCCAGGTGCGAACCTAAGTCCCTGGCCCCGGCTGCCGACTGTGCCCCAGCGCAGCGCCGGGCCGGGTCCCAAACCCAACCAGCCCACCTTGTCTTGCTCATGCTTTTGTTATTGGGTGTGAGGCTTATCACTGACCTCTCTGACCCCCAGGCGCAGCAGACTCTGGGCTCCTCCATTGACAAGGCTACTGGGACCCTGCTCTATGGCTTGGCCTCCCGACTCCGGGATCCCCGGCGCCTCTCTTTCCTCGTGAGCTACATAGCCAGTAGGAAGATCCACACTGAGACCCAGCTGAGCGGTGAGACCCCTCCCTGACCTGCGCTTCCACCTCAAACTTCTCTCAGCCCAGACCCCTTTCTGTCCCTTTTGACAAGTCCCTCGGTGTCTCTCTAGATTATTAGTTCTGCCTTCCCCTCTAAACCCAGGCCGTGGCACTGACAGATGGAGAGGGCCACCTTCGGTGAGACTGACTTAGAGAAACCTAGGTCTGATGAGGAATTTCCCTCAGAACACATGCTTCTTTCCTGAGGCTTCAGAGCTTCTCTTAGAGGGGCACGACTTAATTTCCCAGGAGCCAAATTTATTGGGGTTTCCTGGATGGATTAGGGTCCTGTCTTCCTATTTCTTGGAGCTGAGCTGCCACAGATTCGTTCGCTCTTCTTTTTCAGCTGCCCTTGAGTATGTGCGGAGTCATCCCTTGGATCCCATCAACACTGAGGACTTCGAGCAGGAATGCGGTGTGGGCGTTGTGGTGACCCCAGAACAGATTGAAGAGGCTGTGAGTCTTTCCCCAGCCATCAGTTGCCTCCTTAGGACTGACCCTGAACAGGAGTGGCTCAGCTTTTCCAATCAGGAAGACCCCAGGGTGAGGGTGTGGGTTCCCGGAGCATTTCTGAACCACATGGTTTGGCTTTCTGTAGGTGGAGGCTGCCATAAATTGCCACCGAGCCAAGCTCCTGGTAGAGCGTTACCATTTCAACATGGGGCTGCTGATGGGTGAGCAGGGCCTGGGGCAAGGGACTCTGTTCTTCTTGCTGGACATGCCTTTTCTGGGGATGAGTGAGAGGGAGGTGGGAGGAGGAATAGGAGCACCTTAGAAGCGGTCTCACTCTGGTTTCTGAGGTCAGCCAGGTCCTTTTCTTGGGAATGAGGATGGGAAATGTTCTGCTTTGCCTTTTTGCATCTCCTTCTGTCCGTGTTTCTAGGAGAGGCTCGGGCTGCACTCAAGTGGGCAGACGGCAAAATGATCAAGCATGAAGTAGACATGCAGGTGGGTGCCTCTTTCAGCTGAAGCAGGCACAGGCCCTGCCAGAATGTCAAGTCCACTGAGGAGTACACGGGGGTGGGAGGGGACGAGAGCCTATTCCTGTTCCGATGGTGGATAGTAGTGCCTAGGGTAGAGGGGGAAGCACCTGGCGGACAATCAAAGACCCGGGCCCCTGGGTTATGCTTAATTTGGAGTGAGTTGTTTTACTCTGAACCTCAGTTTATTCATCTTATAAATAGGGGTGATGTGGCCTTCATCTCAGGATGCTGGCAGAGAATCACAGGAGGGTGATGGCTGAGGTAGATGGCTTACCTCGATGCTGGGCCCACAGTTCTGTGTAAATGGCTGTTTCTGTTACCTGAGCCTAAT